TCTGTTTCAGCAGGAGCATGTTGGGAAATGTAGCCCCAGGAGGGGTCAGGTGAGCAAGAAGAGTCATGTAGCTAGTAGGATTATATAAGGGAAGCCAGTAGTTCAGTTAAGAGAAGGGAGTGACTCCAGAGAGAAGGAAGGTGTGAGGAGTTGTTCAACATTAGTGTGCTAGGGAAAGGAGTACTGGGAATCAGCTGTCCACTTAGAAAACAGCTGAGAAAAGGCCACTGAGGAGTCTTGGCTTGGGATACAGGTGAAGATTGAGGAGGTATTTATAGACTGAGGAAGGTATGTAAAGGTGGCATAGGAAATGGCCCAGGGAAACAAAGTCAGGGCAAAGTGGGAAGTTAAGGTGGGGCAATCTACCTATAACAGAGGGTAGGCATAGGTCCCCCTATGCTACTGCCTCAGGAGATGGTGTGATTATCTTGTTGGTGTTTGGAGCCCAGGAGGGTCCAGGCCAACAGAAGGGCTAAAGCCTCCATTGAAGAGAACAGACCCATAGAGGCAGAGCTGTGCTCTGAAGAGAGTATGAGGTGAAAGACTGTTTGTTTGAATTTCCATTATTTTACATTCTGGAAAGGGTGAATTTCCACCTCAGTGCTGTGACTCACTGAAGACCCCTACAATGGCCTGGGAGAAAGGCCTAGAGAGATGCAAAGCCGTAGGGAAACTGAAGCAGCAGAGTCCTGAGAGGTAAGAACTTGTTACACACACCATGGTTCTTAACATCTTTCAATGCCTTGAATTCATGAGTTTAAAAACCAAAGCAAAAACACACATGAGTGAGAGAAAGTAACATTATTCTTCAGAGAATTTAATCCCCCTTCCCCTGGTTTCCCTGACACAGCAGAGATTGCCATACCCAAACCTGAGACTGGACTTATTCTGTCATGTTACACCCCAGTCTTGACTTCTCAAATCTATCAGTGTAGAAACTTGAGGTAAATCCTAGCTGAATCCAGTCATTCAAGTCACTAGATCATCAGTGTCTTCCAGAAATGATTCTACAGCACAACAATGTGTAAGAGCAAATGATTTATTGCAAGAAACAGGGACATGGGAAACAGGAACACCAGCCATGCTCTAATTCCTCCAGGATGGTCTTCAATTTAATACAGGATTCAGTTTCTGGAAGATCATAGAAATGTAGGGCTGGCAGGGACTTAAAGAGGTCAAGTCCAGCCCCCTGCGGTGAGGCAAGACTGAGTAAACCTAGACCATCCCTGACAGGTATTCTTCGAGACTTCCAATTATGGGGATTCCACAACCTCTCTTGGTAGTTCCAGAGTTTAATTACCTGTATACAGTAAAAGCTGTTTTATCTGGAACTTCACCATCCAGAAGGCTCTATAAACCAGCATTTCTGATGTTCATTGAAATTCCAGTTTATAGTCCGGTTGGTGTGGGGCAGAAGCAGCTTGGGGGGCTGCTCATCTCTGGGGGCTGCTCATCTCTGGCAGCTCCCCACAAGCGGTGACCTGTCCCGGCCGCTCCTAGGCGAAGGTATGTCAGGTGGCTCTGCGTGCTGCCCCTGCCCTGCTCCACCCTGAGTGCTAGCAATGCAGCTCCCATTGGCTGGGAACCATGGCCAATGGGAGCTGAGGGGGTGGGGGTGCGCCTGTGGGCAGAGGCAATGTGCAGAGCTGGCTGCTGCACCTCCACTTAGGAGTAGTGGGACAAGTGGCTGCCTGCAGAGAGCCTCCTGAGGTGAGTGGCCCCCTGAGTTGGCACCCCGCTCACCCTCCTGTGCCCCAAGCCACTGTCCTGAGCCCCTTCCCACACCCAAACTCCCTCCCCGAGTCTGGGCCCTTGCACCCCCTCCCACACCCAAACTCTCTCAGTTAATTGGCATTTTTCACTTACTGGCACCCCCCCATTTACCCAACATGCCAGATAAAACAGCTTTTACTGTAGTTAGCAGGTTCCTAATATCAAATTGAAATCTCCTTTGCTACAGATTAAGCCCATTACTACTTGTCCTACTGTCAGTGCCCACCATCCTCTTTATAAAAGCCATCAACATATTTAGAGACTATCTGGTGTCTCCTCCACCCTACCCCCATATATCCACCCTGTGTCCTGTTTTCTCAAAACTAAACCTGCCCAGTCTTTCTAATCTTTCTCCATAGATCTGGTTTTCTAAACCTTTTATTGTTGTTGTTGCTCTACTCTGGACTCTCTCCAATTTGTCCACATCTTTCCTGGTCTGGCATGCAGAATTGCGCACACTCCTCCAGCTGAAGCCAGAACAGTACTGAGTGGAGGGGGACAATTATCTCCCATGTCTTATATACAACATTCCTGTTAATACACCCCAGAATGATGATAGCCTTTTTTGCAACTGTCTCACTTAGTTGACTCTCATTCAATTTGTGATCCCAATTACCCCCAGAGCCTTGTCAGCAGTGCTACCACCTAGCCAGTTATTCCCCACTTTGTAGTTGTGCATTTGATTTTTCCTTTCTATGTGAAGTACTCTACACTTATCTTGACTGAATTTCATCTTCTTGAATTCAGACCAAATCTGTCAAGGTCCTTTTGATTTCTAATCCCATCCTCCAAAGTGCTTGCAACCCCACTCAACTTTGCGTCGTCTGAAAATTTAATAAGCACACTCTCCACTCATTTATCCAAGTCATTAATGAAAATATTGAATAGTACTGGACCCAGGACTGACCCTTGTGGGGCTCCATTAGCTATGTCCTCTGTTTGATAGTGAACCATTGATTACTCGTCTTGGAGTATAGTCTTCGAATCAGTTGCGCACCCACCTTATAGTAATTTCATCTAGATGGCATTTTCCTAGTTTGCTTATGAGAATATCACGTGGGACTATCTCAAAAGCCATACCAAAATCAAGATAATCATGTCTACTGCTTTCCCACTATCCACTAGGCCAGTAACTCTCTGTCAAAGAAGGAAATTAGTTTGGTTTGTTCTTGACAAATACATGCTGGCTATTCCTTATAAACCTATTATCCTCTAAGTTCTAACATTGTTTAAAAATTAGTTCCATTATCTTTCCGGGTATTGAAGTTAGGCAGACTGGAATTCCCCAGGTCGTCTTTGTTCCCCCTTTCAAAGATAGGTACTATGTTTGCCCTTCTCCAGTCCTCTGGGAGGTCATCCATCCTCCATGAGTTCTCAAAGATAATTGCTAATGGTACTGAGATTGCTTCAGCTAGTTCCTTAAATACCCGAAGGTGAATTTCATCAGGCCCTGCTGACTTGAATACATTTAACATATCTAACTATACTTTCACATGTACTTTCCCTATTTTTGGCTTGCATTCCTTTCTCTCCCTCCCTCCCCCCTTTTGTTGTTAATATTGTGTTGTGTATCTGGTCACCATTAACATTTTTAGTGAAGACTGAAGCAAAACAAGCATTTAAACACTTCAGCCTTCTTGATGTAACTCTCAGCCCGAAGTAGTATCCTCAATATATAATCACTTCCTTATTCTGAGCATCACATAATCCGATTCCAGAGGTCAGTCAAACTCAAGATTTCACCTGAGAAAATAGGATATCATGGAGATTAACCTGATTCTGCCTGTCTTCACCTTGGCACTGTTTGAACCTCTAATCTAGAAGGACTTGTATTTTCCACTCAGTTGAAACTGGCTTGTGTAGTACTTGCAGTACCAACTTTTATACCCAAAGTCAACATATCTTTTTACAAATCTCAAGAAATGGTACTGTTTTCATTTTGTTCTCGCCTGGAACATGCACATGAAATGTTGTGTGCTGTAGAAGTTCAAAAGCCTCCAAAATAACCTAAGCTACACTCTGCAATTTAAAGCACTTCAGCATTGTTCCTTAGCATAAATGTGTAAGAAAATATAATAATCCTCCATTGCAACATGGATGTGATGCTGCGAATTGGAGGCCCATAGGACTTCAGGCAAAACTATTCTAAAAAGGAACAAAACCCACCATCCAAGAGTGATTCTCACATTCTGGGCATGGAGAGTGTTAGCATCAGAAGTGCAAAAAGCTGTGCAAAGTGTGGCCTGGAATCTGCAGGCACCCACAGATGCCTTCTGTGAGAGGAGAGTGTTCCAGCGAACAGTCTCCAAAGGAGGACCTTATAAGGCCCTTTCACCTTCTAAATCATTGTCCTCTACTGTGCCACATGGAGGCTTGGTAGAAGTATTGTGCAGAAAAATGGTAACTTCTTGTCTGCTCACTTATGTGCTTTGAGTAATGTGGGTGGGATACTTCGCTGGAGACTTGACATCTAACTCAGAGGATGACTCTCTACTGAGCCTCCCTGTTGGCTTAGTGGGTGGTTCACACTTTGTATTTATGATGACTTGAAACGCCACAATAATTGAACTTAAGTGAGATGCTATTGGAAATTATTAGCAAAACATTGCTAGTTAAAGTATGTTTTCACCACTTTGGAAGAATTCTTCTGGTGGTTTGTCAGATGGGTGCGGTCAACAGCCACAGCATCTCTTCAAAGCCATTGAGCTGGCCCTGATAGGAAGGGAAGAAGGAGGGTGGGCTATTTTTTAAGTTGACTTTTTAACAGGAGGAAAAATGGTTTTCATAGAATATCAGGGTTGGAAGGGACCTCAGGAGGTCATCTAGTCCAACCCCCTGCTCAAAGCAGGACCAATCCCCAATTAAATCATCCCAGCCAGGGCTTTGTCAAGTCTGACCTTAAAAACTTCTAAGGAAGGAGATTTTATCTTTGGGGTGAACAAAATAATTAAGTTGTCCCATATGGTTTCACGTTTGTAACTTTGCAGGGCTTTGTGAGGGTACACAGCTGATCTTGAAAGCTTTTCTGAGGTCTGTGCAGTGCTTTTGGTGCTTATTGACTTCAAATTACGTATTTGCATCTGGCAGGATCACACCTACCTGGAAAGCAATTGTAAGTGTCTGAGTTAACATCTCCAACAGAGAGGATATTTTACTTGCTTGACCCAAACAGGCACATGCTCTGACATCAGAGGAAGTAACAGATGAAGAAATTTAAAAAAGCGGAATCATAAGCAAATTGTTTGAACTTTACTCAAAGTAAAATTAGAGTATGAAAGCTATTTGACAATCTTGGAGCACAAATCCAAAAAAGAGGAAAGCATAGATCATTTCTTTAACAATGCAAAAACATACATCTATGTTAAATACATAAACAGCACTCAATTTTAATACAATATATACTTTATGCTGACTTTAACAGTCATTTAATAATCAAAGGCTGTACAAACTTAGTTTTACCTTGATGGTTTTCTTTAAAGTAAACCACCAGAGTCAAAGCAAAACAAATAGTGTGTTTATTAAAAAACCACACTGACAGCTACAGCATATGTACAGATTATAGAATCCAATGTTTTTTGTTTTAAAAGAAATCACCTGGATTTCTACAAATGTGACAAAAATGATGCATGAGGTAACTTTTTTCAAATTTTAGGATCCCTGTACCATGTTTCCAAATGGTGCTCTGACTTGAAGTCTTTGGAAAATTGACTTGTTTAAGTATGGACGGGTGGTCATTCTCTAATAATACCACTTTGTACTTGGCAAGCCAAGTGCCTGGCCCTGAAAGACTTCTAGTGGTACCTGGTTTTGTCAGCTTTAGCCTTCTTTCTATCCTGCAGAAGAATTGTAAAAATTGAGCTCTTTCCCTAGAGATATGTTAAGTGAATTGAACTGGGTCACATTCATAGTGTTGCATTCCCTAAAGTATGGCCAGCTGCCAGCCTTGCCTTTTCCCATTTTGTCACTCTGTTGCCAAAACCCCTGCTTTGCAAAGGTGCTCCAAGCACAGAAACTGTACAAGTGTCCCTACTCCTCTTCTGTGAGCAGGCATGTTCCGCATCATGCTTCAGGGAGAAGTTCATCGTAACACCCTTGGGGGGCCACTACTGTTTTTAAAATACTTACTGTGATGAAGCTGCCATTAAGCTAAAAAGTCAATTTTTGAGAATTCAAAGGCACAATTAGAACAAGAATGTTGGTGGTGTAATATGCAAGTACCACTCACGAATCTCGCCTCAGAGGGGTGCTGTATCTCCATTACTACTTTAGACAGCAGCAGCCCTTGACATCACAAAATTTGGCCAAACCTGCCTTAAGCTCTTCACTGAAACTGATATTTATTGTGAGTCATTTTCCACAGGACACTTTTGTGGAACCAATCTTGACAGACCCTGTCAATACTTGTTCCCTGTTGTGAAATTAGAGTGCCACTCTCCCTCCATGTCCACCTTTAGGTCTCAGCCCTCCCTGCCCCACTTCTTTTAAATTTCAATGTTGGGGCTAGTGCATAAGGAATGGAGAGAGGACACAGGGTGGAATGTGCTTCCTTCTTTCTTGTCCAGAGCCAAAGAGGCAGCTGCAACTTCTGCCTTGTGTTCTGGGCCCATACAGCTTGTGGTTGTCTGTCTAGTGCCCACAGTGAAATTAGACACCCTGAAAGGGAACAATAAGGGAGAGGGTCCTTCTGCACTGGCCTGGGGAGTATGGGCACATATATTCTGTACACTTTCAAAGGGTAGCATAGCTCCTTCATGCCTTAGGAGCTCCTAGAAACATCCTGCCTAAGACTGAGATAGCAAGAATGCTCTAAGAGCTTGGGAAGCTGTAAAAAAAACCCACAGAATTTAGAGTTTAATTTTAGCCTGATGTTGGGATTCTAGATACTGGGGCTGTGCGTGCTCCTCTGAGTGCTCTGCCAGAAACAGGAGCAATATGAGGGGCTGGATAGGCACAAGCCCAAGTGCTAGACTGAGACCCCTGTTTAAAAGAGGCAAGATTTTCCCTACATCCTCCATTGAGGACCTCTTATCAGATTGCAAGGGGAAGGTAAGGCCTGAAGCAGGCAGGGGAGAAGAAAGTTACAGCTCTTAAGCATTGTTCTACAGTGACTTCCTGCCCCAAGTCCTGTTTGAGAGGAGTTCCTAACCTTTTCAGAGGACAGATTCTGGGGAGTACACCAGCCCAAACCACACAGACACCGGTCATCAGCGGAGCATCCATAGGCCCCAGTTATCAAGCAGGAAATACCTCAGGTTGCAAATTCCTAGATTTGATCTCAAATTAAACACCAACAAGGAAACTGACAGATCAAAACTTTACTAATGTAGCAGTGGGGAAATAAAACACCACCCACCTTCTATGGTTTCTTTACTCTTCCCAGTTTAAAAATAGAGGCTGGGGTCCTAGTCATCTTGTGCGTTTGCAATACAGTAATATACAATATATTGCAGCAAGCTTAGGTCAAGTCTGAGTTTAAGCAAAGTGCACTTTTGACTATATTACTTAACAGTGACTAATTGTATATATAAAAGCTTGTTGATCTACACTAATATGTAATCAGATGCCACCTATAAAAAGGCATATGTATGATCACCTTTTTGATCTACCTGCAAATGAGGTGAACAAAGGGGTAACGGCTAAGAAAATATTAAAATTATCAACAGTAGCCTCTCTATCATTTCACTATGGCTCAGGAAAACCCCCTCAATTCTTTAGCCTTACTCAGAGGCTCCACCATAATTACATTAGCACTTTAGTTCAGTGATAGTGATATGGTATCAAGCTCTCTCTCATACGCACCTCTAACCCCCACCCCCCAGGATCATTCTAGTTTGAAGTGATAGTATTTCCAAAAGAACTGCCAAGCTTTTCTTTCTTGTGCTTGCTGACTTGTGGGTAAAGTGGTTATTATTCCAACTATAAAATAAGGCGCCTCCTAATATTTTTAGTTGTCTTTGGTACCTGATCTATTTCCCCCACCCTCCCACAAGTAGTGGCATCTATATTGTGGCAGGGGAAAATTGAAAAGGGAAAAGAAAATGACAAGCATGCTTGTGAAAACAAGGTTTCCCCCCAGATTTTCTATAGGTCTGTGTATACTATCTGCCAGACAGTGATTGATCCAGCAGGGGGGTCAATTTATCCCATCTAGTCTAGATGCGATAAATCAACCCCAGACTGCTCTCCCGTCGACTCTGCCTGCATCTCTCACGCTGGTGGAGTACTGGAGTCGACGGTGGAGTGTCAGCAGTTGACTCACTGCAGTGAGTAGATTTAAGTACATCAACTTCAGCTACATTATTCTCCTCCCCGCCCCCCCCCCCCAAAAAAAAAACTGTAGACAAGGCCTAAGTGTGCTGTTATGCCCTGTGTCACAAGGGAACGTTTTCAGAAATGTGCTTTTAAAAGTACTCTCGTGATGTAAAGTTTAAACTTGCGGGGTAAACCAGGTTTAGTGCTGCTTTGCATCATTAGAACAGCAAAACACCGTCAGATGAAAGTAATGAAGATGAATATTCACTTTTCAAATCTCTCTCTCCCTGCACTTATTTCTTTGTCCTCTTTCCCAATGCAGCACATTAAAGTAAGTTCTTTTCTGGATCAATTTTTAGTTTAAACTTTTAAATCATTGCACTACTAGACATTAGTCACCACAAGGACTATATTTTCTTTCTTGGCTTAGGCTCTCTTTGTTTGATGGCTTTCCTTAACAGGAGCCTTCAAACTAGGGAAGGGAAGAAACTGAAGATGACAAACAAGAAACAGAGAAATTGGTGAGACACTACTAAAAGACTGAGTTAAGCCGATAACTTACTCTGACAAGGTCTTGTATTGCTAAAGAGGAGTATTTTCCCTGAAGGGTTTCAAAGACTGTAAAAGCATATAGAAAGCACTAGTATGTGTCTTACATTTTGCCCATGCATTTCTTGGTGATTATGAAATGTTGAGCTTGATCACAGTGGAGACTGAAGATCATGCTTTAACTACAGAAGAGAGACAACAGCTAGCAAAACTTCAGTTCACTCTGTACTACTCTGCCAACATACCTCTACTCTGATCACCAGTGTAGAATGAGAGCACTCGTCAGTCATGGCCCACTGAGTCTCTGGCCTCTACTGAGAGGGTGCTAATTACTGCCAACTGGGATGATGGTTATAGTGACATGGGTGCCTAGTTACTGAGAAAACTGGACTCAGCACTCCAAACTCATTTTTACACGGCTCACCCACAAACTATCAGAAAGCTACATTCAATCACTGAGCCATCCGTTCCCTCCCTCTTCCCTACAGTTCAGTTGTAGTTTAGACAGAAAGAACAATAGTGTTGTCACCTAGCATATTTGTGTTTTCCCTGTGAGTGACAATAACTGTGTCACAGTTGTGATGACCATCTTCATGTATAACTGAATCATGTCACAGCTCCCAAAAGACACATATGAGCCTCTATTCCATATGGACAGGAGAAGAGTAAGACCCAAAAATATTGGTATTGTACCACATGGACAGTGATGGGTAGTGGAAACTCTTGTCAATGGGGATTTGCAGAGGTGTGACATTATTTATTGATCTGTAGTTGTGGTGGTAACAGCATGATTTTAAAAACAAAGTAACATTTGTGGAAAATGGTAAAGATAAATGCCACTAGCATAGTGTGAGATGTGATGCTAGGCTAATTTTGGGATGTGGGAAATGCCCATGATCCATTGCAGTAGAATAATCACTTAAAATCATTACAGTTTTTTGCCTTTTCCTTAATGAACATTAACATGGCATTCCCTAACCCATGTAAAGCTAACTCCTTGCAAAGGGGTAATTATGTAACACTCTTTACTTGCAAACTGTAAAGGCTTTAATGGCAACTGCTGTACTAGCATGATTCTGCCTGAGTAGCACTTTGCAGTGCTTCAGCCCTGTTCTCACCAAACGCTATGGCTCAATCCCCTTTTTAAAGAATATTTTCTCCCTGCTATTAAAATAAAAATTCCAATAAATATTCCCAGTTCCCAGCACCAGCCAGTAGTTCTGTAGTCACTCTGAATACTGAAGAAGTAATGGTCCTGGCCAAGGTTTTCTTTCACTGAAGCTTCCCTCCTCGAGCACCTCTCTACTGCTCGCAGAGCAAAAATGGCAACCCTCAGAAAACAGCTTGGGCCCCCTTTGAACCTTTGATTGGCTGTCCACCTCATGTAGTTCTCGCTCTCCCTCAGCCTCTGACTGGATGCCCATAGAACGATTTTTCATTCCCCTTCAGCCTAGTAACCTGGCAGGCTCTGTCTACAGGACTGGTTTCTCCAGCAGAAGGTCATTCAATATACTTATTTAGAACACTTCTTAAAAACTGCCTGAAAGTCCATCTAATATTAATACTACGGTGTTCATGGAGTGTTATATATATATATATATATATATATATACATATACACATACATACACACGCACACTAACTTCACCCTGGTAACAAATGTAAATAATATAAAGAGGTTTTTGAGTTTCTGCCCATTGCTGATTAAACTGTAAATTAAACACTGATAATTAGGTTGACCAGTAGTCCAGTTTTTAAAGGGACAGTACCATTTTTTGGGACTTTTTTTCTTATATAGGTGCCTATTACCCCTTACCCCCCGTCCTGTTTTTTCAGTTGCTATCTGGTAACCCCACTGATTATCCACAGCTGTGTTTAATCTGTCACAAAACCTGTAACTGGACACAGAACTGACCCTTTCATTTTATAATTCCCAAATCTCTGCAAACTGCCTTTAAATGAATAGAGAATTTTGTAGCCTACTGACAGCAGAGAGAATAGGTGACTGATTCTTGTCGACCAAATCAAGGGCAAGGGCAAGGCCAGCCAATAATCCAATAGTACATTCTGGCCTAAACAGTGCTAGCCAGCTTAAATTGCCTCCCATTGCCAATGACAGGACATTTCTAAGTACTGGATCACAAGTCTCTAACAAAGCAGAAATCAAAGCAATCTCACTACACTGTTTAAATAACAGAAACCACCCTTAAAAATGTTGGATTTTAATGAATAACCTTAAACACAAACATTTCTTTTCATGCATCATGGCTTGCTATGCATGCCTAGCTTCATCAACCAGCTGCCTATTTTAGACCCCTTTTGTGTCAGTAAGATGCTACCATGACTAAGCAGAAAATAATACTGAGGCAGACAGCAAGATCTGTTCCTCAAAGGAAAATATAAGACAGCAAAATAAATGAACTCAAGCTGAAAAGAAAACCCATAATCCTCTGTTATTCCCCCAGTCCTATGACCCTGTGTGTGGAGCTCTAGCTATCAAGCAGACAGCTTACTGATCTTTCCATGCACATCTGTGCAAGAAAAGAGGAAGCTGAGCTGTCTACTGGGGACCACATGGTGCCCGGTCCCGCACTTGCCAGGAAACCTAGAGCCTTCTCCATCAAGCCCATTGTTCGGTAAGACTGAGAAAGCTGCTTCAGGCAGTAACAAATGTTCCTTCAGTATCAGAGAGTCTGTAAAGGAAGGGCTCAAACGAAGTAGCATAACCCTGTGTATATATTTAATATCCACACATCTCTAAAAATCATCGGTCATCAGCACTCGTCTCGTTTTCAGTCATGTAATGCATGTTCACACTTGGTCTTACACATGAGCTGCAGAATACAAATCAATTTTGTTCCTCTTGTATAATAGTTTAATTTCCATAATTTAGTAATTTCCAACAAATATTAGTATCCCCCTGCAGGTTCACTCATGAAAATATTGTACCCTGGTTCTTTACAGTGAAACCTTCAAGGGGATAACTTAATGTTTGCCACAGTGATAGCGTACTAATAATGAGATAACCATGCATAGGGGAATTCAGAAAAGGTATTGGGTAAAACTTTCAAAGGTGCCTAAATGATTTAAAGCACTACTGACTTTCAATGAGACTTTGGTGCCTAACGGACTTTTGAAAATTTTACCCATTAATGCCAAAAAGTGTGGCAGAAGTGTGTGTTTTTCATAAACCTCATGTAGGTGCACGTACAACTAATACATGTTCACTGCAGTACAGACTAGGTATCCCATTGTCTCATGAAGTTCTAACTTAAACCATCTAGTGTCGAAACATGTCTGTTACTGCAAAAACGCAATTTAAGGAAATGCACAACACACTGGAAATGGGATTAAACAGAATCTGTTCCACTAGCCACAGCTAGGGCTATAAGAGAATATCTGAAATTTTGCTCAAACCCTGCTGTTCCTTGATCATGGATTATTTTTATAGATTCAATATACAAGGAGTATTAACCATTTATTCTCCACAAATTGAAATTTCATCTGAGTTGCTACACTACTTAACACTTCCAATTGTATCACCAAGAATTTGGCATTTGCCATATGCTAAAACTTCTAGCTAAACAGAAAGCTTCAGCATTTAAATATTAGATTTTTTTTTAATTTTTACTTTCTTGTTTTTGTAGAATTTTAAACTACATAAATATTTAACGCCCACAAATATTCAAAAACACTGCTGCTTAAATTTCTAGTTATGTACCAGAAGAAACATTACAATAAAATATTTTCTCAGTTTAGCTCTGCTTTTGCCAGAAAAACTGCATGTTGAGAATTTGAACACAGCTGTACTAGAGAAAGCAAAATTATGGCAATAGAGAAGACCTTGAACTGGTCACTATGGTCTACATCGATCTATATACAGGGTATATACACATGGCCATGTGAGTCTGTACTCATGAATTTTTATGCGTGCACAGTATTCATCCTGCACAAAGTTGATTTGTCCGAGTTTATTTCTTCTACTGTAAGGAATAGTGGGAAAAACCTCCAGATAGCACTGAAACCATATGGATTTCATTTCACCCATCTGTGGCACTGTTTTCAATAGCAATGGACTGATTTTTGCAACTCATTCAAAATTTCATTTTTTATCTTAATACATTTGTACATATAATAAACAGTACAAACTTTGGAAATAAGATGCAATGGTCACTGATACAATACGTTTCACTACTGGTATAACCAATACATGAGCAAACATATTGTATCAGAGACATTTTTAAGGAACTTGGAAAAATAGGAAGTGTACTGTAGCCTAAAATAAATTACACAATATACAATATATATATTTATACACATGTATGTATATATACACATATTGATAGAACGTTTAAAATAAGTTTTTAGAGTTGATCAGTTCTTTGAAGTGTAAGGACTACCTGGTAAGTAATCTAGAAACTGAATTTGTCCATAATTAAATAATAATTCACTTCTAAAACTTACAAAAATATACTTTACTAAATAAGATTTAAAATTCATAATTTAAGGATGCATCATATAGGATGAAATTCATTGTAATACACATCACTCATGTGAAGGCCCTCTGTGCTATTTAAGCCACACTTAAACCTAACAGTGCCTATCTTGTTCACACTGTACAACACTTACTCATGTGGTGACAGTTCATTCCCATGGAACGATTCTCACAAGGGCTACTTCAGTGTGAGCAAGAATTGTAGAATTGGATCCCTAACATAGGACTTCAGCGTCCTGACAGGCACTCAAACTTCTCCCATACTGATTTTGAGTTACTTTTATAGGGAAACAGGTTAAAGCAATATCCCTATATATTTAATAGGGCTATATGTATTAAAGGACTATGCCATGGTGTACTTTAAGTTATGTGTGTGTTTTTGAACACAGATTGTAGAAATAATTGTATAGCAAACTGTAGTGTAAAAACTAATTATACATAGAACTTATGTCAGACCAGTGGACCAGAACTTTGGTAAAGCTTTTCTTCTTCTTTTCTTCCCTTAGAAAAGAATCTTGGGTATGTCTACATTGCAATAAATCACCCACAACTGGCTGTGTCAGGTGACTGGGCTGGCAGGGCTTGGGCTGAGGGGCTACAAAATTGCAATCTAGACATTCCAGCTTGGGTTCCAGAGTCTGGGCTCCAGCCCCACATCTACACTGAAATTTTATAGCCCCACAGTCCGAACCCCAGGAGCCTAACACAGACCAACCCTGGGTGTTTTATTGCAGTGTAAACATACCCTTAGATGCAACTGCACCACTCTACCAACTGCTGCACCCTCTTCAGGAAAGGAGAACGGAAACTGGTCACAAGGAAACAAGGTGTAGGACTTGGCACCAATCTTCTATAAAACTTCTTTCTTAAATGTGTACAATTTTTGAAAAATCTTGCATCTCAGATAACTTCTTAATAAAGGCTAAATAGCATTCTTGTCCTGTATTTCTCGCATCCCTTTTATTATTTTTATGTACCATTTGCTCACTGGGGCTCATGCCTTCCTACCTTGTTTTGTAACAACGTACAGCATAACAGCAAATGACAAGTGAAAACAAACATAATGGCCCACCGTGGTACATTTGTTTAGATAGCAAAATCATTGTCAAGCGAGTAAAATAAAGCTGCATTTTCAAAGGTTGTTTTTTTTAAATTCTCAACAAAAAGGAAAAAAAAGAAAGAGGGAAGAAAGGACGGCAGCAGAGTCAAGGGCACAGAGACACACAGCAGGGCTTTGGTTGACAAATGCAGATTGCCCAAAGAAGACGGATGCATATTGAGGAAAATGCCCTTTTGTGTGATGCAGCCATATCTTTTGTGTTTGCATGGAGCGAGAAAACAAAAACAAGCAAAAGCAAAGACCTTCCTTTAGGTCCCTCATTAGTGTGAGCATACTCAGTATGCTAGAGAATTTATCTGAAGCCTTTTAAATCAAGGCCTCTTTATTACAAAAATAAAACCAAAAAAAAAGGATGAGAGAAGAAAAGATGCTGAAGTGTCATTTTATGTGTCCCTGTAGAGAACAATCACGTCCTGTTTATTATTCATTCTCTTCTCTCATTTCTACGATATCTGTCATTTCTTCTATCTGTGGCATGTCAGTCATTACTGAGTCTTCGCCTTCCGTAGCAGTCTCATTTTCGTTCCGCTTCTTTTTCTAGGTCAAAAAGAGGTTGTATTCATAAGCACATGACCATCTATATTGTTCATTGTGCATCAGCTCACTCCTACAAATGGCAGGCCTTATCAGAAGGAATGTGGTCTAATATTTAGAATGCAACATTCCTGGCTTCCACTCGTGGTATGCTACTGATTTGTCATGTTAATTTAAAAACTTCCTTTAACATCCCCATGGGTCCATTTTGTCCTCTGAAACACAGGTATTATTGTTGCCTCTGTCTCAGAGGGGTGTCGTGAGGCAAGTGCTTCAGGGTAACTGGAGGGAAAACACTATGTACAGAAAGTGAAAGGTGGGGTTCTAAATTCCAAAATGTCACAAGTCAGGAGCACAAGAGGTAAAAATAGTGATGTTCACTAGTACAGTAACATTCTTCTCAAAGACAGAAGGCGATATTCCTTTTCGAGAAGAGGGGGAAGGGGCATTTGACCAAGGCTCCACCACACATATATTTACACAGAGGAAAACTAAGGCACTAGGAAGTTAAGTCACTTGGCCCAAGCTCACAAAATCAATGGCACAGCTGGGAACAGAACCTAGAATTCCTGTGTCCTAGTTCAGAACACTTAGTTAGTATTGTCTATGAGAAAGTGACAAAAGCAAAGACCAATTCCCGTGTAGTGTGTTTACCTGTTGACCCAAGCTCTCTGCTCACTACTGATAGGAGAAGCCACTGTCAGTATGAGGCAGGCCACTTGTGTTCCCAACATTCTGCCGTTGAGCACATGTGGCTTAATGTCTGTCTGTTGCATCTGAAGACGTGGGTTTTTTACCCACAAAAGCTTATGTCCAAAAAAATCTGTTAGTCTTTAAGGTGCTACCGGACTCCTCGTTGTTTTTGTGGATACAGACTAACACGGCTACCCCTCTGATACTTGTCTTTTCAAGACAGTCATATGATTCATGCAGGATGTTTTGGATGAGTAAAACCTAAGATGCCCTCAGCCCCAATACAAAACAAGTTGAAGCATCTGTTCCTTATTATCTGTTTCTCAGCAGGCTGCCCAGTCCTTATTGAAAACAGTTGTAAAACTCCCCTCCAAAACCCACTGATATCACTGATTCAGCTGAATCAGGCATATTAATAGAGCAAGATTACGAGGGCGGTGTATACAGAAAACTGGTTTGTGGCTTTCAAACATTTTACCTAGATTTAATCTTTTAGCTGAAAATAAACTGACACGCAAAACTACTGTTGGTTGTGCCATTACCACATTGGCCGGTGAAGAGATCATTTCAGATTCATTGGACTTGTAATAGTTATACCTGTCAGGCAAATGTGATCATCCAGTTGTTACCACTTCATTATACTACAAAAATAAAGTACTTCATCTGAAAATTGTGGAGGTCAAAAATACTGGAGGAGATGTGACAATTATACCATGCACATCATACAAATATTAGTGTAAACAGAAATTTGTTGTGAAACTACAAGCCAAGAATAGCTTGGGATAGAAGATTTTTCTTACTATTTTTAGTGAGCAAGGAAAAGATTAACTACAACAGAGAGACAAAGTTCTCTATTTACGCACGTGTAGAGTACAGCATGGGCTAAGGGAGTGTGAATTTCTCTGCTCTGCTGATGTGCCTCAACCTGTTCTTAACTTCTATCAATGAGCTAGTAGTTCAAAAGCTTTTAGGTAGGTTCTGATTTCATAATTGTTGATCAAAGCAAAAGTGGTAAAAACGTGCAGGGCTTTTTGATTTTTTGCCTGTAATGGAAAATTCTAAATTAAAAAAAAAGAAAAAGCAGCAAGGATTCTTTTCTCTACACTCTCCCACCACAACTGTGTTTAGCTAATTAGATGATTGATGCTGTACTACTTCTAACTGGAGTTATGTATCAAATACCTTGTGCATACCCTGAAAACGTATCTGTAAGGGTTCAATCCTGCAGACTCACTTATGCACGTGAGAAACCATACTCACATGGGGATTCCCTTTGGCCCTGATCTTGCAAACACTCCTCCTACCTATGCATAACTTTTTTCATTTGAGTCCTCACTAAAATCAATGGAACTAGCCATGTGAGTTAAGTTAAGCATAAGGGTATGTAGGACTGAGGCCACTGAGAGATGCATGAATTCTCCACATGAGTAAAGTTTCTCACTTGCTTAAAACTTTTGCAAATTCAAGCCTGTACTTTGAACGTGTGTGTGTTTGTGTCGGTGGAGGAGAAAACCCATCTCCATCCAGTTAAGTGAATATTTTATTCAGGATAAAAATAAAGCCAGCACTTTTTTGCCCACCTTCCACATGGCCTTTACTCAAAAATTGTGTTTTCTACACAACTTGTCACCTTACAGAAGTAGTTATCCATGTTTGTCCTGGTCACTGGATTCTACACAACCAGTTTCCTACCTGTTTCCGACAGACGTAGCAAGCCGCTATTGCAACCATGGTAGATTCTCCTACAAAACCAGCTAGAAGTGATCCTACTCCTAGGGTGGCTCCATGGACTCTGAGAATAACAAAAAAGAAAAGGTAGGATTTAAAAAAAAAATAGAAAATTACACTTTCAGTAAAATATTGAACCAATGTATTTTAATGAACAATTTCTACACAAGGCCTAATGGGGCAGGTATTTAATATTTTCTGGGGGAAAAAATCCAGACACTGGTAGAGAGAATAACTGATATATTACCGTAACATTTGCTTCCTAAATAGTTTCATTTTTTACTATAATCTGTTATTGCCTGAAAACAAGAGGAGACCCATTGTGAATCAAATTCTGCCCCAAGACAAGCTAAATATAGAATTTAATTGAGAATGATAGCTCTGCTGTAGACAATAACAGTTTTTTTAAAAAAAGAAGTCTACAGAAAAAAAGATACCATTCCCTATATACCTATTGCATAGATTTTTCAGAAAAGTAAGTAATTTCTGTGTAATTCTGATAAGTTTTCATAGCATCCCGTGGGTATTGGTTTCATCTCTCTTAACAGCTGTAGAATTTTCAACAAGGGCTAATAGTTACATGCCTAGCTAGAGACAGGAGGTGGCTGGAACTTTGGAAGTGATCATTTACAAGAGTTTGAAACTATTTTGGTTTTATTTTAGTCTCTGCCTTTGGTGCAGACACAAAGAGTTAAATAAGGGCAGCTATTAAGTGAAAGGAGAGTGACTCCATTAGAGTCGTGGTGAGTGGAGTAACTTACCCTAAGTAAGGCAGCACAATGAGACTAGTGATGAGGACGATGATGCGCAGCACTGAGCTGGGTGCCAATACAAATGTCTTCTTCAGTGTCATGAGCCAGCCAGTCAAATGTGCTCTAACTGTGACTGTCAGAAAAAAGGAAGAAAAATATGCAGTAGAAAATGAAGGGAGAGAGAGAATTTTTTCATGTTAATAATGATACAGACCTCCTTTGTAAAGTGCTTTTCGAGCTACTGGTGAAAAGCGCTATTGAAGAGCGAGGTATTATTATAAATACTATTTATTTAGAGTTTAGCATAAAAAAATACAAACACCATGGCCTTGTTTACAGTTGCTTTGCCTACAGTGAAACTGCCTTAACTGCAAACTAGACTGGAAGTCCAGAATTGTTTTAGTGCTTTTAATTGTGCAAAAAGCAGTCTGAGGTACAGCAAACTTCCCTTGGTGTGAAACTGGCCTGCCAAAAACATTTCACAAGAAGATAGTTTGACTCCATTAAAATAAAAAACAAAATAAAAATGTGTGTGTGACAATAATACAAATACATCTTAAACACCTCTTCCATATGGTAGGTGCATTCTCCTCATTAAAAATGCATAACCCCTTTTAAGGTCAGGAAGAAAGGATACCTAGATGTGTCAAGTGGGGAACAGACTTCCTGAAACAGAACTTCACGTTTGGAGACTATAATCCTTACAGAGCTGTGCTCTTAGATATATATTGATCCATACAAAGAATATCTAAGACTCTATACAATGTAGCAGTAACACATGTAGGTTATAATATTTACATCAGCATTTTAATATTTGAGGGAAATATTTTGGCTAGTAGTGTAATAAACATCCATATAATATGAAGGACAGCATTCCGTTTTATTGTTTGCATAGCAGTAGGACTTGTAGGCCCTGTTCAGTATCAAGATGTGTTGATATTGTGTAGTTGTCCAAGATGTTGTACAAACACACAGTTAATTACAGTTGGGCAGAAACACACAGTGCACATTCTCAGGCACCTAGAACAGATACAGGTCAGCTTTTAGTTTTCCCACTGAGTCCATTTAAGAAATGTATGTATGCTAAATTTGTCTCCATCTACCGACAGACCCTTTATACGACATTTATACCTTGAGCCACATTCAGCCCTAGTGTCAACTGGTCTGTATTTTTACCTGGAACTGGGAAAAAGGAGAAGATGCGCAAAGGAATGACACACAGTTCTGCAAAGGCAAAATCGACTCCAATTATGTCAACTAAAATCTTCTCTGATGCATTCGGAGTCCAAAACATCAAAAAACAGAGCTGGAAAAGAGAACCACATAAACAAAATTAGGAAGAGTTTGCATAGCAAAGCAAGGAAGGAGAAGGAGAGAGACAGGAGTCCAGCTACTAATCTACAGGCTTAACTGATCATGCAAGTATTTCCTGTATTAAATGGAGGAAAGTGATAGGTGCAGTACAATAATATTTGGCATTTCTACAGCATTCAAAGATCTGTAGTATCCACGGATCTCAGAGCAGGTTATAAACATTAATGAATTAAGCCTCATCCCTTTAAGACGGGCATATATTATTGGTACAGATGGGTAAACTGAGATACAGGAAGGTTAAGTAATCTGCTCAAGATCACATGAAGAATTGATAACCCAGAACTTGCCAGTTCTGACTCCTAGCTACCTCCTTTAACTACTAGCCTACATTACTACCTCTTCACATATAAGCCAAAGAAAGAAATAGTACACCAGGCAAATACCAAGATCCAGCAGGTTATGAATCAGTCAAATTAATCATGGATGCACAGGAAAATTTAATACAATGTAACTTTACAATATTTGGATTCTAGAATTCCTGGCTTCTTCACATGTAAAGGGCTAGCCAGATGCTAAACTAAGTAGAAATCCGGGAGAAAAGGTTGTGAGAGGTCTTCCAAGGAATCTTTCCCCTTACCACAAGTCAGAACAATCCCTGTACTTGGTGAAGTGCTGAACATTTACAGCTCCCACTGACTTCAAACCAAGTTGTGGGTGCTTAGTGGCTCTGAACACCCAAATGCTTTTACCACAAAGCATAAAGCAGAGTAACAAAAAGAAAATAGATTCAGATCTTGAAAACTTTCTGACCTTCCCTGAAATAAATCAAAACAACAGCCTCGGAAAAGAAAACACTATCACAAGTTCTTCCTGAAGACACTGAGGAATTATGTTCTTTTGTTTTGAGGACTGCATTCATATAACCCTCCTGATGGATACGATGTCAAGTGGCTCTTAAGTATCTGAATGCAGTAAATTCCTAGCTACCTCCTCCTTTAACTACAGGAGTTGGGGGTGGGTGGGGCTTAATTCATTAATGTTTATAACCTGTTGTGAGATCCCTGGATGCTACAGATCTTTAAAAGCTGTAGAAATGCCAAATATTATTGTACTGCACCTATCTCCTTCCTCCATTCCAAATACAACAGTAAAGAGTATAAAAATAGTGCATGTCTTCTGAGTTTGCCCACAAACACATACAGATGTACATGCACTCACAACAGTCACTTAGGAGTAGCAGAACAGTTGTATACACAGAGACGCTGCCATCAGTATAATGGTAGTAACCCCTAAGACAGCTCAAGAACCAAGAACCCCCAGCACATAGCATTCCTATAGTGTCTGTCTGCAGCTTGTTACGTACATTAGGATGATCAAGCATGATTTAAGAACTTGAGTCTACAGTAGACAGAGTGCCAATGTTCAGAAGCACATAAACACAGATTTGAATAGCTTAGATTTGAAATTGCCTTCAAGAAAGATTTAACTTTACTGCTGCTGATACCAGTACTTTAAAAGGTATAGAAATGTGTCTGCTTTTATCCTGTACAAAGCATCAATGCATGTTGGAAAGCCATGGTAGCCTGGCAGCCATAATGCCTCGTACGGTGAGCTTGTCAGATATTATCATTTAAGAACTTTTATGGTTAGTCCGGATTTGAACGGAAAACGTTAAAGAAAATGCACCATGTTTTAAGAAGTGGTGTGGTGGCTCAATACATAATGCTCTTCCCTCTCAGCAAGCATTAAACCATTGCCCCAGCGCAGTGGTGGGAACTCTGTGCAGTTAGCTGTTCCATCTTTGGGATGAGATACAAAACGAAAGTCCTTACTGGTGATATTTTAAAGATCTCAGGGCACTTTCTCCATACGTAGGGACAGCAGCCCTGATGTTCACACCATTGTTTAACTCTGGCGTGTTCCTCACACCTTGTAATTTAATTTGTTTTTGTTGTTAAAAATAAAGTTAGTTATTTTTCATTTTCCACAAGAAAATGGATGCTGAGAAAGAGTGATCATAAATAAAACAAACCATAACTAGAAGCCTTAAAGCATGCCAGTCTGTCAGACTGCAAGACAACAGAACTGAATTTACCTTTCAATAAATCAGAATCTGATGATGCCCTCAGTGTCTAATTGACTCTTTTTTAAATCTATGGTGCGATTTCATGGCCCTTAGCAGTTCTCCAGTTATATGACCCACATGTTCTTCCATATATTTGCAGTGAAACTCTGGCGCCATTGAAGTCAACCGTCAAACTCCCATCGACTTTTATGGGGCCAGTATTTCACCCTTGTTCTCTAGTTGCGTACCAGTGATTGTCTTTTCTAATTAACATGCAAACAGACACTCTTTTATTGACAACACCAAGTAAATAGAGCCCTGCACAGATACAAAATTTACGTCCACAGATAGGATATAAATTTTGTATCCATGCAGGGCTCTACAAATAAGTCACTTTACCCTGTGCTACATGCAGAGGCACCTTCCTGACAGCTTAAAGGCGTGAACAAAACCACTTACTTCAGTCTGCTGATTTAGCTTTATTTCTTCTTCTCATGGACAGGAACTAAGGGTGGAATTAATTTAAGCAGCCTAAACCTCAGACTTCGGTGCCTAAATTTGGGATTTAGGCAGCTAAATTCAAGTTTTAGGCTCTACTGTGATTCACAAAACTCCTGCCAAACACTGTAAGCACCTAAACTCTGAGCCTAAATTTTCAGAGAAAAAATTTCCTAGGTGCCTAAGTTTCTGCCTCTGAGCATGTGCATTGCTGCCTCACTCTAATAGTCCAGAGGCTTGTCTCCCTCCCAGAGTAATCCACTAACCAGAGGAAGATAGGCAGGCAAACACTTATCTCACCTGTGGGACCTGATCCAGTAGGCATGCTTAGCGGCTGCCTACTGGATTGGGGCCCATTCACAATCTTGGAGTGGGGTAGTAGCCTTATAACTTTTAGACCAGTGGTCACCTGGGATGCAGGTTCAATTACCCACCTCTGCCTGAGGGGAAGAAAGGATTTGAACAGGGGACTCCACTCTGCCAAGAGAGTGCTCTAACCACTGACCTATGGGATATTCTGATATCCTTTTCCCCTCAGGCAGAGGGAGAAATTGAACCTATGTGTCTTACATCCCAGGTGAATGCTCTTAACTACTGGGCTAAGAGTTATAAGATAGGCATCACCACCGATCTTCAGGCTGTTTTGTGTGGAGTGAGGCAGGTGTTTCATTCTCACAAAAAACAACTTAGGTGCCTAAGTCACCTGACTCCAGGAGAGGGTTTCCAGCTCTGCCTTCCTGCAGCCTGGACTTAGGCATTAAACTCTGTGAATTGGTGGGGTAGGACAAACCCCTCTCATCAGCATCTCCCTCTGGCTAACTTAAGCAACTCCCCACCTAGCATTCTGGCTTTTGTGGATGGCATTCTAATGCACCTCTCTCCCCATTCACTGTAAAGGGAGCTTAAGTGCGTAACTCAGGCTTTGAGGATCGCAGTGTTTCTGTGATTTTCTAGGTGCCTAAAAGTTGGGCATTGTGATGCTCAGTGTCCCAATGCCTAAGCTGGTTTGCACTGCACAGTACAGATACTAATAGCTGCATAGTGACCGTATGAATTCCTGCACTGTGGTCGTCATTATTAGCGAAAGTGCTGTGATGGGCATACTGTACAGTTTTTGAGAAACAGCATAAAGTTGCTATGCAGGAGAGCTTTCTGATTGACTTACCTATAAAGCCTAATGGAGAAAATAACTTAGGGCAAACACAAGCACAAATCAAACCTTTTATTTTATTGCCCGTGCTCAGACACCCACACTGAAGTGAAATAGCCATAAAGTGAATTGTTATTTATCTTTGAAAAGTCAAAGTTTGAACAGTGAAGTTTTAATTGCACTAACTTCAATGCACTTTTCTGCACAGATAGCTGGTCACCTTGAAGATGACCTTGCTATTAGAAAACCAGGGACTGAACTACAGAGAACATACATAGATAATGGAAGTCAAAATTCTAACTTTTTCTTTAATGTTCCTTTCGAAATTACAGTAATTTTATTATGTGTAATAAACAAATAAAGTATGAAGTGATAAGAGACTGAAATAAATTCAATCCATTTTTTCCAGTAAAAGTTCTCTTTTAATCAGAAACACTACCCATGGCAAGCAATTTATCTACTTTCATGGTTAAAGAGAACATATTTTAAAACCACCTACGTTTTGAGAATGACAAAAGCTGTAATTTTAATAGCAGTGTAACTTCTAGCTAAAACTGCAGTATTCTGTGAAAAATTAAGCAAACGCTGTAGGGTAAACCTGACACCTTCAAAAATTTATAACAGTGTAATTCCCCAAAGATATAAAGAGCAATTTCCACTTTCTAAATGAAACAGGGATTTTTCTGTCATACATTTTTTAATCATTTGGGAAATCTGTCATCTTTGTATTCAAAAGTGACATCCTGACTGTAATTTCAATGCGGTGTCCTGGTTCAAGAGCTCAGAAACACATCTAAGACATCAAAGGAAAACTACTTCCACAGATTTAGCAAATTATAAAAAAAGAATTTGATCATTCTTGTATTGCACATCAGTGTCAGCTACTGTACTGCACAGCATAATGCCATTCCTGCAAGAGTGGTACATCATTCCCTACGCTGTACTGAACAGCAACACTGGCATATTACCAGGACAAAGTATATGCTACTATACATTAAAGAACATCTCGTTCTTTCTCTGAAAGTGTTTCAAATGGTAGCCTAATATGGCTAAGAGGAGAAAATCTTTTTTTTTTCTTTAGTTCCAGAATTACTGTAGATTAGTCAAAACTACTGTGCTCAGGGTCCAGTTTTGCTCCCATTGAAGTTAATGAAAGTTGTGCTGTTGACTATAATGAGGATCAGGACTAGAAGCCCTATGCTGCATACACTTAGGGGCATGCTTACATAACTACTGTAAGAAGTTCAATTTAAATCAATTCATGGAGGAAAAGTTAAAT